TACCACTAAACTTCAACGATAACATAATCACGAAACAAATGCTAAATACAAAAGTCATGCCGAACATTCTAAAACAACACAAGCTCAAACGTGAATCACACCTAGCAAAAACAATCATCGGTAGATGAAAAACAAAAAATGAGGGCTTTTTTCACTCACACAATAATATTGCAAACAAAAGACTAAATTATGCAATCATCCAAAAATCATGTTGAAAACACAAAAGCAAGAATCAAAAGGACTTTCAGGGTTGTAATGTGGTCGGGTGAACAGACAAGGGATAATTCCTAAAGCTAATCGAAACAAAAACTTGCCTAAACCTAAGGGAGTGATAAACTCACAAAGTTTCAAACACCAAAATTCCAATCAAACTTCTTCCAAAATCCCAAGTGTTATATCAAACACATAGAACTTATTAGCACAACATTATTCTACTCTTTTTGTTTATCTTTTTCTAAGCTTTTTCAATTTTTCTTTTCTTTTCTTTTCTTTTCTTTTTCATATTTTTCTCATTTTTCTTTTCTTTTCTATTTTTCAACCTCATAGCAATCAACAACACAAGTGAACGATCATCATCTCCCCAACTTGAATTCAACCACATCATCATGTGAATACTCCCTACTTTCTAAGGCAAGGTAAAAATTCATACAACAACACAAAGTTGAGGGCTCAAGAAAAAACAACAATCAAGATCCACACAAAAAATGAATTTGATACTCATAGACAAGAATAAAACTCAAACAACATGGATAATGACCAAAGGCTCAAAGGGGTTACAAATGATCACACACTCACAAGGTGAATTGACTATTTGGCTAGGTAGTTGTGCTCAAAATGAAACAAGTGCCTTAATCCTTTTCATGCTTTCATATAATCAACACAAACAAAAGATTAAGCATAATAAAATCCAGTTAAAACAAGAATATTGGTACTCCGAGCATATATGAACAACGAAAGGCTTCCTCACAAAAAGGTGGGAACTAAAGTGATTCACAAAATGAACAAGTATACAAAAGAATGAATGACATGGAAATTGTAAAAAGTCTAAGTATCATGAATATGCTAAAGCCTAGAAAGCGATAAACACATACCTTGAATGTGTACAAAACTTTAAACACTATCATTACCACGCATTCGCAAGTTGAAACACTCAAACTTGGAAAATCACCTCAAATACCTCAAGCTACCAAACAAAAATTTGAGTCCAAACAACAATAAAATACCGGTGAAAATGGATTAAACAAGTTGTAAAGTGAAGATTTGAGAATTTTACGAATAATCCGAGAACAACTTGTTTAATGAATGTTCACCACACTACCTAAGCTAGAAGGAAAAAGTAATAACGAAACAAAAATGGAAAAAACATGCTTGTTTTACGTCGTAAGCTCGACGCCTTTATTGTGCTTAGCTAGTAACTTCCTTCCTTCATGCCATGTGATGTCTCACCGCGCAAACCAAAAGCAAGTGTCCTAACCAACCACTTGAACAAATGTTACGAGAACAAAATATATACAACATTTAAACAAACATACTGGAAGACAAAAGCAAAACAAGTATCTATACAAGCATATATATACAATTATGTGCAAAGCTTAGAAATATAGAAACTATCGCAATGCGACTCAATATCACAACCAATCCCCGGCAACGGCGCCATTTTGTTGAAGCGGTAAAGCAGCAAGCAAAAATATTATTTTCGAAAGAATTTCCTCCGGGATTTATCGTCTCCACAGGGATCAGTGTGAGGGAAAGAATGTCGTTCGACAATCTCTACGTCTCTAAGCTTGGGTTTGAATGGTTTGGGATAAAAATTCAAAAGGAAAAACAAACATAAAACAAGAAAATAAGTACATTCTTAAGAAATGAGAAAACTCTTCAGGAGTTGTATTTCGTTCTACCCATCATGTACTAAAAAATATATGGATCAAATGCACGCAACCTAATTCGCTCGTCAATATCATCACGTATCGCTCACAACAAAGTTTATCTCTAACACAAAGTCAAGAGATCAACTGTATCGTCTCATTGTTGATCTCTCACACAACTCGACAACACGAAGCATTAAGAATCGATACCCACGTGAATATTAGTCCTAAATCTATCTCTAGCATTCAGAATCTAACAGATGTTCATCTTAGATCGAGTTTGAATCGTATATCTCTATAGCAATCCAAACCCATTAAGTAAAAAATCAAGATAAGCATCGATAAAGAGTTGTAAAAGAGATTTTATACAAAGATCCATAAATATACATACAATCAAGATAAACTTACATACAAAACCCCAACAAATGAAAAATACATAGAGAGTAAGGAAGAAGAACACAAATCTCACGGTCTGTCAACTCCGATTGAAGTGGATTCGACTCCGGATCGTCAAGATGCACCCTCCAATGTTGTTTCTAAGCTAAATCTACTCAAGAATGTGTTTGATGAAGTTGGGGTAAAAAGTTCCCAAACAACATGCCCTAAAAAATGCTGAAAAGTCACTTAAATAGACAAAAAAAAGTCCCAGTATTCGCCTGGCGAAGTCCCGTTCGCCTGGCGAACATATATAACTTTTGCTTCTGTAAACACAGTGTTTTTCACGCGTTTTTGAACTTTCGGTTCGCCTGGCGAACTTTTGTTCGCCTGGCGAACATTCGCCCGGCGAACTTTGGCGAACATGACAGCAAACCAACTTGTTTCGACCATAATTTTTTAACCGTAACTCCGTTTTTCGCCCGGTTCGAAGCGTTGGAAAGCTTATTCAATGCTCTATCTAACAATGCTCCAACATCAATGCTTTATTACCTACAAAAATGAATGAAATTCAATTAAACTCAATGATATTTACAGGAAAACATAATATATACACTATAACGTAAAGTAAACGCATTTATAAACAAAGCGGAGTTTATTCGAACGATTTTAACATAAAGTAACGTTAAGTGCAACAAAACTTATATACAAAAATAGGTAAAATTTGCACTTAACACCCCCACGCGGGGAGACATCATCAGACAACTTCTCACTTCTAAAAGAACTAGTCAGCCCACCTTCCGAAGATCACAGGGAAGTTGTACCAGATTGAAGACCACCTGCTAGTCTTCCCTACGCCACGTAAGCCCTGGTAGTTACTTGTGTTGGGCCTGGTAATCCAGCCCAATGCAATGTAATCGTTGGTCCTGCGCTGGAGGCATATTATAAATATCCTCTTTCACTAGAGGGTCAAATATTCGATTCGACACACCTAATCTCTCTGTACTTGCTTTTCTAAAACTCTGTTACTCACTTAGGCATCGAAGTACCTTGCAGGTACACCCCCTCCTTCTCATCAACACCAGTGAACACAGGAGCTCACGATGTGTGGCCGACCACTGATTCCTTTCTGATTAGATAAGATCAGTTAGTATTATTATGTGTTTTATTGATTAATAAAATAGTGAAAGTGATTAATAAATTATAAGTAAAATAAATGGTTAATAACATACATTTTTGTGGTTAATCTAATAATGAAATTGCTTAATAATACAACTTTATATTTGTGTTATAAAATGAATTTTAAAAATATATATTTTTGAAAAATAATATACTTTTTATTTAAAAAAAGGTTTAAATAGTCATTTGATCTTGATAAGTTGACATATTTTATTTTCGTCTCTGTATTTTTTTTTTGAAAGTAATTTCTGAATGTTAATATTTTTTTGGTTTTAGTCCGTAAAGTTAAAATACGTAAGAAAATCTAGAGAAAACTTGCGGATTTCAAATTTAAAGACTAAAATCAAATGAAATTCAATATTTAAAAATTTTATCTAAAAAATAATACAATAAAAATAAAACAAAAACACACTAATTTACAAAGATAAAAAATTATTTAAAATTTAAAAGAACACAGCGCATGGATGTTATTATAAGGGTGTGAGTGAATGATAAGAGACTAGTATTTTATGAGAAATGTTCTCTATGTTTTTGTGAAAAGAATTATTTCAATAAGTTTATCAAATTTATTTGTTTTTATGTGTAATTAGGAACCATTTATTTTGTCTTTAAAAAAAATCATTTCTACAATGTTATATATTTTTATGTAAAAATATTTATAAAGAAATTTTTTATAAAAGTTTTAAATAAAATTTAAATTTAATAATTACTTTTAAAATATTAGTTTAGAAATTTTATTTAAAAAAATTTATATCAAATTTCTAAAAAGATATTTAATTTTAAAACTATTTTAAATAATTTTTTATAAAAATAATTTTTAAAATAATTTTTTTTAAAAAAATTACAATTGCAACAATATTTTGATATTCAGTAATATATATTTATATTATAGGATATTAAAATTAATTTTTTACTATAAAAATATATAAAAACTTATAATACTTTCAAAAATATTTTTATAAAATACAAAAAAAAAATTAAGTTAAAACAAACAAACCTAGTATTTTTTTTCCGCCGCAAACTAGCCTAGATTAATAGCCTATACAATGGTTATTATGGTGGTTTTATTTTTTTTTTTTATCAAAAAGTGGGCATTAGCCCCTGAAAAAAATAAAAAAGTTCAGAAAAAGTGGTAGTCTTGATATACATAATAAATAGGCTATACAATGGTTATTTATTAGGGTGGTCTACATAATAAATTGTTATTTATTATTACGAAATAATTATAAATGTTAGTAACGTCTCATGCCTACCATTTTCTGTCTAAAAAAAATTTACACAAGTGCACATTTTTTAATAAACAATTCAGAAAAAGTGAATAATTTAAAATGAATAAAAAATTGAATAAATAGAATCGAATATCATATAGTATATTTTTAACTCTATTAAAAAAAATAAAATACAGTAATTTTAATTTTGTATTGGACAATTTTGTAAACTAATTCATAATTTCACTCCATTCTCACTTTCATTCGCTATATATTTATTCCCACCTTATGAATCTTGATCAGTAGCACTTTTACGCATCTCGTTCTTCAATCCTCACCTTCCTCCCTCGTCACCAAAACTCAACAAACAAAGATGGCGAAGAAGAACAAGAGCAAGAAGAAGAAGAATAAGAAGAACGTCGTCGATGCTCCATCGGTGAAACCCATTCCCAGCTCACCACCACCGCATGTTTCCCCACCACCACCGCATGTTTCCCCACCACCGCATGTTCCCCCCAAGAAAACCATTGCTGATCAGCGTCTATACAACGAAATGAAAGGCGAGGCTTTTGCTGTAGCTTCCAGCGTAAGTTCCTTCCTTCATTTACGGTTTTGGTTTTCATGGTGTATAGTTTGATAAAGTCTTGAAGTTTTCTTGAAGCAGGCTTTTGAGAAGCACGATGCCAACGAAAGAATTGCCGAGGAGATAAGGACAGTGTTTAATAGCAGATATGGCCCCACTTGGCATTGCATCGTTGGCACCAGTTTTGGTAATTTACGGTTATCAAGTTAATTGCTTCTTGTTACTGTTGTTATGTTTATAATTGAATTCTTTTATTTTTGCAGCCTCGTCTGTAGCTTGTGATGATGCCGACCACTTTTATTTACGTTTCAGTCCCAAAGACATTATACTTTTTAAATGTGACATAGTTGATAGAAGAATGAGATCTGTGTCATCAACAGCGTCTATTACTTGATATACTGTATAGAAGAACTCTTGAGTCTTGTTATGCTTGTATATTTGGTTTTGATGTGGTGTGAAAATACTTGTTATGGAAATTCTGTATAAATGATTCAGGTTAAAATCCTTGGGAATTCGTTATACATATCATGCTACTAGTTTGATAATAATCTGTTATAGGTCACATGACTAAAACAGATTCAGTTACTCTTATATTTTACTTCAAGTTCTTTATTGTTTATAATTTTTTTCTCTACATTTTATTATGGTTCTCTGTTAATTAAATATGAGTATTTTTTTTTGTCATTTCATATTCATAAATAATTTAATCGCTAAGTTGCCACACCGTACAAATTTAACTAATTAACTTATCAATTGATTTGAAATGGTGAATCAAGTTAAGTACATTACTAATATTGATGGTCTATGTGATAAATGATGATGTGGGGGAACATTGTCTCAGTCTCAACTTTTTATTAAACGTTGGTAGTCAATTTGTGGACTTGTTTTGAATCATTGAGTGGGTAATGCCCAGTCTAGAACAACACACGCCCAAGTCATCAGTTTGAGAAGTCGAATACTAATGATAAGTTATACTAATGAACAAAAGTAGTAAAGCTCAAAATAAAATCTATACTATACCTATTTTAAACAAGACTTCTTATGAAGTATGAAAGGAAGAACACCTAACATATTTTATTTTATCAGTTTGGACAAAAGTGTTTATTTAAATAATGTTGGCGCTAAAGTACAAAAGTGTATCCTTTTAGACATTCTAAAAGATCTAAGGCATATATAGTGTATAACAAGGAAACCTTAGGTTGAATAAATCTATGTAAGGTTTAATGATAGAGTATGACAATGATAAGTCAAAGTTAGTTGAAGCTTTTGTCGATTTAGAGATCATAAAGAAGCCTTCATCACTTGTAAATGCACAGAATATTGAAGATGATATCCTCTAAGAACCAAATCATCATCTAGAAGAACATATCATTGGTAACAAAGATGATCCTATAAGGACCAAATCGTCATTCAAAAATGAAGCCCCCCTTAGTTTGATTACTTTAAATTTTTGAAGCAATCTATGTGAATGAAGCTCTGAGTGATGATGATTGGATAATAGTTAGGCAAAAAGAGCTCAACCAATTGTAGAGGAATGGAGTTTGAGGTATTGTGCAACGACTATAAGGAAAGTATGTCATTGAAATCAAATGTGTTTTCATAAACAAGTTTAATGAGTAAGAATATATGACAAGATAAAAGCTAGACTAGTACCTAAAAGCTATAATCAATAAGAAGACATCGACTATACTAAAACTTTTGCACCTATAGGTAGGTTAGGAGACATCGAATTATTATTATCAATTGTTGTTAACTATTATATTACTCTATGTTAAATGGATGTAAAAAAATGCACTTAATGGATATATTAGTGAATAAGTGTATGTCAAATAACTTCACAGGTTTGAAATGTTAAACACCCATAACATGTTTATAAATTAAAAAAAAGTCATTGTATGGTTTCAAACAAACTCCTAAAGTTTGGTATGATAGACTTAGTAGGTTTCTCATTAAAAATGATTTTTTAAGAGGACGAGTTGACATTACATTATTCACTAAAATAATCAAGAATTAAATTTTGATAATTCAAACATATATTGATGACATAATTTTTGGTTCTACTAATGTTACTTTTAGTCAATATTTAACCAAGATAATGCATACTGAATTTGAAAGAATCATGATAGGAGTGGTAAAGTTCTTTCTAGAAATTCAAATCTACCAAAATACAAATTGAGCACACATTCACCAAACCAAATATACAAAAGAGTTGTTAAAAATATTTGACATGTTGTAATGTAAACCTATGACAACTACAATTTTGTTAGCTCTAAATTTCGACGTCTGAATTGGATGAAAAGAAAGTAATAGAGTTTTTGAAGAATCAGATGACTTCGACCAGAACCATATCTTTGAAATGTGAGTCGAAGGCATCCCTTTGCCAGGAGGAGCTATTTTATGGACTTAGAAATGTTTCTTAGCAATTGGAAAATTTGATTCGACAGAGGCGCTACTAAAGGCATTTCAACGAGAAGATTTGAATTCAAATAAAGGAGAGAAAGTTAGTTCTTATCCATTTTCTCAAAGAAGACACGTGGAGCGATTCTAGGAATCAAAGACATGCAGAACACCACTTGTCTCAATCTAGTTCGCTAGCCGTTGATGGCAGTTATTTTTTTATTAGTCTAAATAGTAGGTCTTAGTGTTAGGATTTGGGTGTATTCAATTGTGTACAAATTCCTCAATATACTTCAAGTACCTACGTGTAGAGAAACGAGTTTGTGAGAATGTACGTTGATGTAGCACCATTTTTACATTTCAATGCAAATCAATAAGTTTTTTCATTAAGAATTTATCCTTTATTTATGCAAGTTACTTTCTATATTTTTTTACCAGTCTTTCGACTTTAATCCTTCGTGTTCAATTCCATTTATATTTGAAACAAGTTATTTTATCATGAACTCTATCGAAGTGTTCATTGTTTTTCTAAACTTTGTTTAAGATCAATTAGCACATGTCCTAGGATTTGTGTGGTCGATCCTGCAAGTAAAAAAATCTTTTTCGATTTGGAAGACCATCGATTGTTCACCAATTTTCACGACGAACAAATTGGCACGCCTAGTGGGACAGTGCTAAGTGATCATAAAATTTGCTTCGAAAATTTTGAAAATTTATTAGTTCTAAAGTCAACTTTCTCTTTGAAAACTTTGTTGCATGTTATTAAGAAGTGGTAAAGTAGCCACCTCTAACGAAGATAAAACAAGGAGAAGATATAGGAGGAGAATGACGACAAACTCTAACCAGCCAAATATTGCTCAGGATACGCCTAGTAACAATGTAGAATAACTCATAAGATCTTCGACAGGAGGACCAACAGTCTCAGTGACTGTCTTTGAAGCAATACCATCTATGGGAAGTTCGATACCTACACATTCGATTGCCCATACACAACCATTTCTGACTTATATTGGGTCAAGGGGTCCTCCACAGACTCCACCACCAATAGGGGCTTCAGCATTCAGAAGCGTCCCTCCTCCTGGATTTGCGATACCCTTGCCTCGAGATCCACCTTATAGAATGCTAACTTCTATGATGGTAAACTTACAAAACGCCCCTCCATTATATACAGAACCCATAATAATTTCGCCATTACAGGGATCAGGCTCTGGGGCAAATATGGGTCGAAATAGTCAAACTTTAGGATTATGGTACTCTTCCTAAAAGACAAATTTGACAACCAGTTCTGCATCATACTTAAGACAACAGATGGATGAGAGTAACCTTCAAATGGTCCAAATAATGTCTCAAACTATGAGGGAAATCTTTCAGCCCCTTATTCAGAAAACTACCCAAACTAATCAATAATTAGCAGCGTAAATGACGCGCCTTGTAGAATTCTTTGGTGTACTAAATCCCCCTCGACAACCACCAAGGGAGTATATGATAGAAAACCAAGGGGTAGTTTTCGAAGAAGATACCACCATTAACCAAATTCAACAAAATCCGATAAATATACCCCAGGAAAATCAAAACAACCAGGGAGTGAACGAACGACCTAGAGTCGAACCCCCTAGGAATCAACTACAAATTCCTAGAGAAGAAGAACCAATGGTAGTTTTGGTAAATAGGAACCAGGATGTTGAAAACATTGTACAACAAGTTCGACGTAGCAACATAGATGCAAATAATAATTTGGCTGCCATTGTCGAAAGAATCATGGCACGTAACGGAGTAAATTTTGGCCTTCGATGGCCTAGTTATACATCATCGTTATCTGAATACATCCTTCAGTAAGATTTATCCCCAAGAACAAAGGTTCCTAAGTTTACTAAGTTTTCTGGGGATACTACTGAGTCCACTATCGAACATGTGGCTAGGTATTTGATAGAAGCAAGAGAAATTTCGAATGATGAGAACCTTAGGGTAAAATATTTCCCAAGTTTTCTTACAAAGAACACTTTCACTTAGTTCACAACCCTACCTCCAAATTCGATTCCTAATTGGAGCCAATTAGAACGTTTGTTCCATGAGCAGTTCTACATGGGACAAATAAAGATCAGTTTGAAGAAATTGGCTAGTATATAATGAAAGTTTACTGAGCCAATAGACGATTATTTGAATAGGTTTCGACTTCTTAAGGCAAGGTGTTTCACACAAGTGCCAGAATATGAGTTAGTCGAAATAGTTGTTGGGGGCCTGGATTATTCCATCAGGAAGAAACTAGATACACAATACCTGAGGGATATAGCCTAGTTGGCCGATAGGGTTCGACAGTTAAAACGCTTGAAAGAAGAAAAGGTTAGGGAAAATAAGAATAAAAGAATAGCCTATGTCGAATTCAATGAAGAGGACGAAGGGCCTTACAGTGAGCCATGAGTTTCGATGAGAATGAAGTAGATCTCGCTGAATTGAAACAAGGCTCACCCTATTCTTGCAAGGTTTTAGCACCTTCGAATGGAAAGAAACCTGCCTAACCAGAAACAAATGATAGGTTTCCTAAGAAAACTTACACATCCGACGTCACAAAATGTGACGAAATCTTTGATTTGTTAGTTAAGGATATGCAAATGATAGTACCGCCTGGTGCTAAAATGCCCCCTTTAGATCAAAGAAAGAAAAGAGGGTTTTGTATATACCATAATTTCTTGGGTCATAAAACATCTCAATGTTTTCTTTCCATGGATCTTTTTCAGAATACTATTCTAGAGGGAAGGCTCAAGTTCGGGGAGAAGTCCAAGAACCAGATGAAAGTTGACGCTGACCCTCTACAAGTTGCTGACGCTCATTTTACGGAGCCAAAAGAAGTCAACATGGTCCAAGTCGCTGAAGATTTCGACAATGCAATCAACATGGTTGAAGTCATTGAAGACTTCATTAATAAGGTTGTTTTGGTCCAGGTTACTGAAGACCTCGACCAAAAATTCATGAAAGATTTTGTTTGCGAAGCTACTGAAG